CCCCCCCCCCCTCTCTTTTTCTCTTTGATATGAAAGTGAAAAAGGGAAATGGTCAGTCATATGAAGAAAAGCTTCTCCGCCATCAGCTCTGAGACGGGACGTCCTTCAGGATGCCTGGAACCATCAGATCAGGTAGTTATTTCGAATAAAGATTATTAGCTGTCTCTCTTTGCATGTCATCATATACTTTTCCTTTTCACATTTCCATTTGTACTACTCCATTATGATTATATCTCTTTAACTCATTCTCTTTTAGAGTTTTCATCCTTGAAAAACACACTCCTTAGGACATCTCATACAAACATACACACTTTCTTTCAAAGGAAAAGACATGACTTTTTTTCAGTCTTCATGGTTTTTTTATATTGTGTCTTTTTTCTTCCCTTGGTCTTTCTCCTACAGTGTCTCTTACGTGGGTGGTTTTGTTGGTGTGTCTGTCCAGCAGACGGACCAGCGTGGGTGCAGCACCCATCTGTACAAATGGCCAGGTTGGATGCCACGTCCTGTCTCTGGATAACCTGTTTGACCGGGTCATCCAACACTCAGCCAGGATGCACAGCATTTCAAGTGACCTTCACTCCGAGTTTGTAAGTCTCCTCATGCGTGCTCCTCATTGTCTGACAAAGCTTATCAAATTGTGTTTTGAACGTTTAAGTGATACAATGTTGTAACAGGATACTTAAGTCTCAATAGGACACTATATAAAATGGCTTATTGGGTAAACCTAATGTAGTCCAATATAATAGTCCTCATTAAGGCTAATGTTCAGTTAAATCATTTTGTTGTATACTGAAAGAGATTGTATTATTCACCCTACCCTGATTAATATAAATAGGATGGACAAAATAAGTAATCATAAACTGGCAACTGAGTCTACACACACATTCTTTTCCAATAGCCATTTGTGATTATCATCAATTGCAAGCCATTCTACTATTCCATTAATCTATTTTTATTTTCTGTAGCCACATTTGACATTAAGATGACCTCTGACATTTTGCACTTGCATTCATGTTCGTCCTGTCAGGAGCAGTACTTCCTGCCTAGTAAGAATCAAATTGGCCGGGTGGGTCGCATCTGTCACACCTCTACCATCATCACGCCAAATGGCAAGGAGAACGCTCAGAGAATGGCGGTAAAGTAACCTCTATAAAAGCTATTTCCTGTAGTCGGCATGTGCTGTCCACATCATGTTTGCAGTTTTCATTTCTCTTGATTTAGTCTCTTATAGAACACAGGGTTTTCCCCAAGTTAACCAAAAAGTATTGCTACCGATACACACTTAATTCTAACTGTCATGACTTAAAATATTCACTGATGCCTCTACCTGTCCTGTTGTCCCTGCAGAGAGAGCAGCTGACGGAGGTGATTCTGAAGCTCCTGATTGCATGGAGGGATCCTTTGTGGCATTTCCATCAGAGCATGGCTCACCACCACGACTTCAACAACTTCAGCTCCAACAAAGCTCTCGAGATGAATGACATGGTGCACGAGCTACGCCAAGGTGTAGAGAAAGTGGCTGAGAAGGTACTGTATTTCTTGTAAAAGGGAGAAGATATGGTTGTTTACATTAGCAGTTAAAGTGTAGATGCCAACAGTTTAATTAAATGGTGCTCAAAATGCCATAATTTGTGTGGTTAATGCTTTGAGCGGTCTGGGTCTCAGGTTGTGATTCATGATGTCATGCGGCAAATCCAAACTGTACAGTTTACCCTCGGGTGACCTTTTGTTCAGACTAAACATTCAGCCTCAAGCAAGAAAGGAAGAGACCAAACGTTGGGCACACTGCCTGCCACATCTCTCTTTGTGTAGGCCAGAATGACCAACCGATAACATATAAACGTATGTCTTCAGATCACAATATAATAATCATTCTCGGGAAGTAACGGAATACATGTAACAGGAATATGAATACAATGAAAGGTAACTGTATTTCCTTACAGTTGCAGAAAGACGTAGTCATTATTGATATTTATTTTCTCTTGGATTTATTTGAATATTTGATATTAAGTAAGTCAAATATAAGTCATATAAGTAATCAAACTCAATGAGTAAAATGTTTTCAATCAATCAATCAATCAACCAACCAACCAACCAGGGGCGGACTGGTACTAAAAATCATCGGGATTCGTCCCGAACGTCCCGATGGCCAGTCCGCCCCTGCAACCAACCGATCAACCAACTAACCAACCAAAAATATTGTATTACTCCCAGGGGTAAACTGTATGAGTATGCTTTGCTGTATTGATCTTTATTTTCTTTTATTTCTTGTATTTATTTGAATATTTGATATCGAAGTCATCAAAAAGTAATGAAAGGTAATTTGGTTATTTTGAAGACGTGATGAATTGATTGATTACTTACTAAATTTTTCAAGGTAATTAGTATTTGTGATGGAATACATTTTACCCTCCCAACCAAGGGTATAATATAAACTTAATGAGAAACATTGATTTTTTCAACTCAATCAATCAACCACCCTATCAATCAACGCAACCAACCAACCAAGCAACCAACCAATTAATTAATTAATGAAAATACTTTATGAGTGTGCTTTGCTGTCATTACATTGTATTGTTTATTTTGTGAGAACTATTTTAGAATTGTAATCCAAATGGGTGACAGGAATGAATAAATAGCGGGTGTTTCTATTATTTTGTAATCAATCAGGGTGAATAAAAAGCTGATGTGTGCATGTTCCCTCTCCAGATGCAGGTGCTGGGGATAATCAGTAACTCTGTCACCAGCCTGGCTTCTCCCGAGGTTTTGTTGCCATCGGACAGTGCCGATTGGCGGCTGATGAAAGACTATGACCTGCTCTACTGCTTTCGCCGAGACTCCAACAAGGTCCAGAACTACCTGAAGATCCTCAAGTGTCGCATAGTTCCCGATCATGGTTGCTAGGAGGCTGGGAAAACAATGTGTTTAACTTCAGGAATATCAACACGTTTGAATGGAAATGCTTGTTTTTTATCTGCAGAATGTTTACTGATGTTCACGCCCGTTATGACTGAAATCAAACTGAGACCTAAAGACTCTGCCCGCCCTTCACTTCACGCCTGGTATTTTTATTTGAGTTATGTATGGACAGGATGGAATGAATGTTAAGCTGGAATTGTTCTTAAATATATAAATACTATTAAAAAAAAAAGGTTTTATTTGTGTCTGTTCCACAGAGGTACTGGGAAAGAGATTTATGTTGTCACACTAAAATTGCAATACTCTGCATTTCTCAACCCGAGGCACTAGGACTGATACAACTATGATGCTCTGTTGACTGCTTTAAGTTCAGCTAGTTTTTTTTAGAACAACACTCAGTTATGTAATGTGTGCCATATATACGTGGGAAGAGTAATTGTTAGAAAGCGATTATTTCACTACAAAAGCCAACTCCTTTTTTCAATCTACTGTATATGGGAATGAAAGCATTGTATTAATATAAAAATGTGCAATGAATGCATAGTCTTCCCTCCAGAACACTTGATGTGTGCAGAAATCTTGAATTCTAAATTTACAGAAGATATACTTAAAACAACTAAATAATTTTTTTTTTTTTTTTTTAGATGGTTCACGAGCAGAATTGAACAGTTATTCTCATGTGAGATGTTCTGTTAGACATGTGTGTGTCTGTGAGCATAGTGGGACCACAGTTCAACTGAAAAAGAGCACGTTCTGGAATTTTTCCACAGAAATCCAAAAGGTAATAAATCTGAGCATATAGTTTGGGATTCATTATGTTTATTAGGTAAGAAAAACAAAACTACTCATTGCACTGAGTGTGTGCTGGTGAGCAGCTTCATGATGCGGCTGCTATGGTGACGACCTCTGGTCTCCCGCTGCTCTGTTCTACACAGGACACATGGACGGAGCCGTCCCTGCAACAAACACAAATCATATTATTATATGATACAAACTATCTCGTCATGTGACCTGTGCTGTGATCCTGGAGGGGTGGATACCTTTTCATGGTTACCACGGTGTCAATGTCGTGTTTATCCTCTTTGGGCTGCAGGTTCCTCAAGACGATCTATACATTGTACACACAAGAAGATAAACTGTTTATTTCCATTCAGCGTTTTGCTCATAAAAAAAATGTATGCAACAAAGAACAACAACTAGCTTACTAGGCTACAGAAAAACAAGATTGAACAATGCTATGCTAACATGCTAACATAACTGAAATGCGAAACAGTGTCATAATTTGCCACTATTCCAACACGTTCTTAAGTGAAAAACAGGCAGTTTTAAACAAAAGAAACTCCTATTGTCGACTTAAGAATGTGTTTTTTTACTTAAAATAGTGGCACTCTTCGCATTCCATACCCAATTTCTCAGACATATACAAAAAAAAAACTAATAGCGCACATTTAAATGAACAATTTAAATGCATAGGCAAGGTTAGCACCAACAAAACAACACAATGTAAATCATAGCTCCTGCAGACTTCACTTCTGCACTGGTATACGTGCCGACCATGTACTGTGGACAATACACTGACTTTGGATACGTAGCTCATACAACCCATCTTCAAACTATTCAAACTCCTCCTTTAACATTCTATAGTGTTAGAGCCGTTTGTACCTTTGCTATTTTTTCTGGCTGCTCCTTGAGACTTCTCTGGTAAATCTCCAGACTCACAGAGGAGAGTTCCCCCCCTCCAGTCAGGACGTGTTGTCTGCGGGCGGGGAGGGGAGTGCCCGATGGGAGCAGAACAGTGAACACCTCCGCTCCGGATTCATCCACCTCCTGCAACATCAAGCCGGAGATTAGTTAAATAGAGTATGATACAGAAATAGAAATTAGAGATTTACGTTTATAGACTAAATCTATTCATATACCCTACATATGGTGTGTTTTTCATCAAACAGTGTACCTTCACTAGAATATCAGTGGCAGAAACGTCCACTGTGACAGTCTCTTCCTCGGGGGCGAGGCCTTCTTTGCCGACTAGTAAGCCCGCTTCCAGAGCCGCTCCCACAGCGATGACCTCATCAGGAGGCGCTGAGTTGAGCATCTCCACATCAGGAAACATGTCGCGGATCATCTGCTGGAGGCGAGGGATCCTGGCTGAGCCGCCGCAGAGAACCACCTGAAATACATTTATAAATGATATTATCTAAAATCATTACTGAGGTATTTCAGGATTTGATGTGCTTGAAGTCACATTTATTAACTATAAAAATAAGGATCACTCTCATCCACACCATTCCTATAATAGAGAGATCTAGTGGAGACGTATTGTGGGCCGACCCGGGAGTAACGGCCCGTCCACACAGCGGCTTTGGAAAAAGCTTGCCGGCGGGCGTGTCTGAAGCTCGACCAACAACCAATCACATGAATCTCCCGCCCCTGACACACAAGCAGCGGTTTGATTGGCTAGAGCTTGTACTGGAATATGATTTGATTGGCTGACGCCTCCACCGAAAGCTTCAGAAGCTTCAAAAGTTGAACATTGCTCAACTTTTGCAGCCTGCAACGCCAGGAAAGCTCCGCTCTGCTTCCAACGCCGCTGTGTGGACGGGCCGAATTGCAAGGGCTCACTCGATTAAAAGCCAATGGGATGTTTCCATTGGATTTTGGAAAATTGCAGAATAAAAGATCTGTGGCAAACACACAGCTGAGATACTAAAAGGTTTCGTTAAGGAGTATAATCTTCACATGTGAATACCACTTTAATGATGTTTGAAGCGTAAATGCGATAGCCAGGAAGAAAAAGCTAACGTTAAAAGGAGTAAACTTGTCTTTTTATTCATTTTGTAGAGACCACGTTTACATCTCCCTAAACGTGTGTTAACCATAGACTTCATTTCAGGCATCAAACCCAACACACTGACTTTGAAACAATGGAACCTAAAGAGCCAAAACGCCTACTCCTGGATGTTAGGACTCTTTCCTTCACCACTCGGATGCAGTTTGATGATTTTTAAACCACAACTCCTCAATGAAAACCCAAATGACTTCGCCTCACACTGTACCTGGTTAATGTCGCTGTTGGAGAGTCCCACCTTCTCCATAAGGACTTTGATTGGCTGGATGCTCTTGTTGAAGAGTGACGCGCAGAGCAGCTCAAATCGAGCTCTGAGAAAACAACACAATGAGGTTATCGTCTTGGTTACGACTTTTTATCCACCCTGACTGTGTCCACATATTTCCCTTTGACACGTATTACTTATAATACATCTGGCTAAACTCTAAATCTGCTCGTGAAGGAAAATATCCTGATGCATGTTTTAACTAATCAGTTGTTTCTTGTACATTGATTCAGATGCAGCAGTTTCTTGTTTTGAAGTACATTTCTTTCTTTAAACTTTTTTTATTAAAACTTAATTTCCGAGCAGATTAAAATGTCTGTGCTCTCAATCGTGTATTTGTTTTGTCCTTTTTGTCCTTTAAGAAAGGCCACCATAAAACATTTAAATGTAAACAGAAATGTTACAATGACAAAATATGTTTTAGAAAGGCTGGCACTTTATGTAAAATGTCAATTTTTTTTATTCTTCTTCATTGTAAACTCTAAATCGGCAGCCTCTTTGGTTGCTGTAAGGTTTTGTGTTTCATCCTTGGTGTCTCTGTCATCCGCATGATGATGTGTTGTACGAGGTTACGACCAGCTTTGTGTTCCCAGCTTACCGCGAGATGTTGCATTCAAAGTCGATGCCGTCGTGCAGGGAGTCCACAAAGCAGTTGGCTGTGCTCAGTGAGGAGAGATTGTGCTTGGCCATGTCTGCTCCAATCATCAGCTTCATCATCGCCCGGGTATTGTTGCTCAGATCGTGCTTGAAGGTGCTGCAGTGCACAACAGACAAATTACACCAAGAGTCAAATATAAACCAGGCATATATACGGGACAAAACCAGATCTTGGGTTATAAAGGGAAACCAACACCCAGGCAGGATTGATTAGAGGGCTGTTGTATGAGACGGCTTAAGCTTTACCCAGCTGTACCTGGTAAACCGGCAACTCATTGTAAAATGATGCTTTTGCAGAGTATGACATAAATGTAAAGCTGCAACGATGCGCAGACTAAACCATCAGGTGGTCAACGTTCCTTTGACAGCATTTAGACTTAATCTTACTCTTTAGACAAAAATGCTCACTATTCTTAGTGTCAATTCAAGCCATTGTTTTCTCTTCTAATTTTGCCATTTAGTCTTGGTCTTAATCATGTATCAAAGGTTGTGTTTATTGATCATATGATATTAAATAATTCAGTCAATACTCTTGCTAAACCTATAATTGGGTCATTTTAGTCATACCTATTTCTCATATGATATTATCTGATGAAAACACAAGTTAAGTTGAAATCAGTACACAATAATCAACAATAATGATTGTTAGTTGCAGCCCGATATAAATGTGTAACGCATGTTAGAAAACAGTAAGTTACAGAGTAGGAGCAGCAGAAATCACAGTAGCTACCGTTTAAATTCGGCTGCCAGGTGCTGAGCCAAAACCTCAGTGATCTTTTCTCCTCCGATGCTGTGGTCAGTGAGGGTGTCCAGAACCCGGAACATTCCTCCGTTGACCTCCAGCACTGTCACACTCAGAGACGTCCCACCCAGCTTATACACCAGGACATGGCTGTGAACACAGTGCAGAACAATGTGAGGGCAAGTCGACTGGAACGGATACATTATGTTCATAAAGAGTCCATTAAGTCCTCTACCTCTTTCCAGCAGAACAGTCCTGTCCAATGTTATATGCCAACAGAGCAGCAGCAGGTTCGTGGATTAGCCTCAGAACATGAAAGCCAGCAGCTTCAGCAGCCTCCCTGCACACAGCAAACACAGTGGCGGTCTTTATTAAAAAAGGGTTCCTCACAACTAAACAGTACAGTTGTAGTCAAATGTCCTTTGGCCTACCTCAAAGCACGCTTCTGAGCATGTGCAAACTCAAAGGGCACGGTGATGACCGCCTCGTTGACATCAGAGCCCAGAGCTGACTGAGCCGTTTCTGTGAAGAACAAGAAGAAGAAGAAGAAGAAGGAATGATTAAACAGCTTATTGTTTCTCTTTGAGCCATGTGTCTGTGTGTTTGCGACAAAATACCTTTCATTTTATGAAGGATGAGTTTTGCGACATCATGTGGAACCACATAAACTGGGCGATCTCCTGCTGTGATCTCATAATGAGGCTTGTCTTGTCTGTTGACCAGCTGAACAAAGAAATCACTGCTTTACTTGGACTGTCAGTCTTTGTGGGCTCCAAACATGTTTTATAAAAGTAAAACAAAGAGACAAAACCAGCCAGCATGCTGAAGATTTAAGGATACAATATGAACAAAATGAATCCTTTCAGAAGTTTTGAAAAAGCATCTACATACACAACATTAGGTGGATGTGTTAACAAACTCACCTGACACTTGTTCTCTGTTTTGTGAGTTTGCGTCTCTGGATCATCAAAGCTGTCCATTAAGGGGCAGGGAAAGAGAATGTTATTTTTTGTTTTATATATTCTACACGTTTTCAAAGCTATAACTGTCTACTCATGTGCTTCTTGTAGTTTTAATATTTGCAAACAAGACACAATAAGAATGTCACCTTCTGCCCAGCACTTGTTTCACTTTGACAACTGTGTTGGCAGCGTTGCGGACCCGTCCTTGCTTTGCTGCAATGCCTACAATCTGCAGAAGATACAAACAGAGCAATAAGATTACGACTTAAGTCAAAATGTGTAGGACCTACAATCCACAATGTAATAACAATAATAATCTGGTAATGTGTTAGTCAACTACAATTTCTTTAGTCGAGGACAGCCATACTGAAAAGAGCACAACAGTTCAACAATGATTACATAAACACTATGAACTGTATAATAGTGACGTAAATTGAAGATAATATATGTTTTACCTGCTCAGTCTCTCTGTAGCCCACCACAGCTGGAGTCACTCTGTCTCCTGCATCATTAGCCACCACATCAGCACGCCCATCCTAAGAAACATACGCTCATCAGTGTCTCAAAAATGTATTTTTAGCTAAAAGACTATAAATGGACCTTAAGAAAATGTATCTTCCCCCCCATTGTACAGTACATACAACTAAATGTGTCTTTATGGAGGCCTTGGGGCGGGTACTGGAGGGGTACCAGGACCGTGACTATATTTAAGGAAGGCCTTTTCAGTTTTACTATTGAGGGGGAAACTATTTAAGGACTTTGGATATTCTCCCAGATGTCTAAAACTGTGTTTTTTTAGACTAACTTTATCAGGCATGGAATGACTTCATTCATCGCGTGTGTATGTAAAGTGTTAGCATGTTAACAACCAGTGCTATTTCAGTTGAAATGTAGAGTTGTGATGAAGTTTGTCACTATTTTGTGAACCAGATAAGGAAGGACAGCGTGGGAGAGGTCGGTAAGGTTAAACTGAGCGTAACTCACCTTAAATATCGCAACACAAGCGCAGGTATATCCGAAGTGAACTCCAATGGCAGCCATGTTGGAAGATGTGCAACACGCGTATGCGCCGGCTCGTGTTCCGCTTCTAAAGGAACCACTTCCGGCTGAACCTTTTCAAAACAAAAGCGTATAACTTTAAGAAGAAGTTTAAAACCCATAGACAATTTAAATATAGGTAATAACTAGCTTATAAATTAAACTGTTTGTTTCTTTTTTTTAATGTCCCTGAGGGCAATGCATATCAAGTAGCCTATTGTGGGCCCAAATGCTAGAAATATACATGGCAATATACAAGTGTACGGTTTAATGGCTCTTGAGGTAGCAACCGTAGCATGCATTATTATAGGACTATTTTTCAGTTTATAGGAAGTTTTACTGTTGGTATTATCTGTAAATATCATATTTTAGTCCAGTTTAAGACAATGTGATGACGTCAGTCTCGGTTTCTCTGATGCTGCAGTTCAGCCGAGAGAGGGCTGTTGACTCGGACGCCATGAAGCTAATAATAACTCAAACGCTGTCATGGCGGTGCTACCCTTCGTCTGTCTGCTGTTTTTTACAGGGTTTACTTTTTCTGCGGCAGGCAACTGTGAAGGTTAGACAGCATGGTGTGAGCAGAAGTTATGTGTGTGACTACGGTTAACCAGTATTACACTGTGCTGATATCACCAACAGGTTCTTTTTTGAGACGTCAACATCTCCCTGTCTATATCTGCCAATGCATGTCTGGACAGATTGGGCAATAAATAAAAATATACTTTCTCGTTCACACGAGATACTTTCTCGTGAGTCACCGCAATTCATGCAGTGACTGACATTATCTGCTGCGCGTCTTTTACGCACCGCCTTCACTGTGTATGTGTGTGGTGTGTGGTGTGTGTGTGTGACAGGACATCTTCTTCATAAAACTAATAATATGGCGTAATAATCGGGCAGTTCGATGTGTAACCATAAGAAAGTATCTCGTGCGAACGAGAAAGTGTATCCCATGAACCTTTAGGGGCTCCGTGAGTATGTGCGAAATTGCACATATCAGACATTTTAACTTTCATTTCATTATGTCAGATAAAAAATGCGTGTTGTTGAAATATTAGAGTCAGGGAAGGGTCAGGATTTTACAGAGGGGATTTTGAATATCTTTTTGTATATCACTACCAATATAAAAATAGTAGCTATGTACAGATACACATTGTCAAAGTTAGTAAAATAAACACCTGAATGTGTATTTTGGATTATTTATTTACCCCTAGTCTGAAAGTAGACTGGATATGGAAGCACCAATCTCTCAAACTCAAAAATGTACCGGTATGTAAAAAACAAACGTGCAGTTTGTCTGTAGTGTTTCCCCTTAATTGAAACACTCACAATACATTAGTTCCAATATACAGTACATAAGTATAAATATAGAGCTAAATGTTTTTTTGTCCACAAATAATCAGAATCGATTAGCAGCACGCTCACCCCATAATAACAATGAACTGGTGTGCAGTGTGTGTGGACTTTCTTTCCAGACTATATGGCAGTCTAACGTTGGCCCACAGAGAACTCACTCCTCCCCTGGTGGAGGAAGAGCTGATCCAGGCCTGCACTGTCGCCCAGGGCAAGGAGGCGAGGCTGGTGAGAACACACACATGCACAGACTCCCATGTGAGCTGCAGAATTGATCAATATAAACCTATTTCTGAGGGTACTTGGCTGATCAAACGTGTGTTTATGTGCTGTCGTGTCCCAGTGTTACTATCTAGGAGCCACTATTGATGCAGCAACCCGTGTCACAGCATCGGTATCTCGACCTCTGGCCTCTCACGTCCCCGTTGAGAAGATCTGCCAGCGCCTCAGCAGCACAGACATGCAGATCTGTGAGCTCAGATATGGTAAAGTGTTATCAAATGCATAACAAACACTTACCATTCACTTGTGTGTTGGCACAATATAAAGCATGTTTCTGTGTCAGCAGACCCTCAAGTGAAGGATCTGAGCAGCGACGGGCTGAAAATAATGAAAGTCTTGGAGCTGAGGAACATTTTAGCTTCGTGGGGAGAAGAGTGTCGAGGCTGTCTGGAGAAACACGAGTTTGTCAGCCTCATCCAGGAGAAAGCACTGCTGCATGCTACGGAACTATGAATATAGTATAATACAGTATTTTAACAATAATAGAGGAGGCATACATCTTTTTGTGCTGATACAGTATGTACCTGAGTAATAGCAGCCACAGCAATAGCAGCAGCATGGTAGAAAGAGTTTCATAAAATACTGCCCATCAGATGTTCCCAAAAACGTTTCAAGTGTCATAAAAAATGCAGTCTATGAAAAGAAGCTATCTGACGAAAAGTTCAATTGAATATCTAAGCAGGAGGTTCACGTTCATACGTTTATGTAAATGGAGGGTAAAAAAAATGCTCTAGTTGTTTCTTTTGACAACAATCACTTGCATACATTAAAATGTGTTTTGTTACACTGTTTATTTAACGTCCCACACATCACATTGACTTATTCATTTCTCAAATTCCTAATGTAACATTTTCCTCACTTCTATTGCAATGATAGCTGATTAGGTCTATGTTTTTCCATAAGATTTCAAACTGATTCAATGACAAAAAAAACATAATAAATAATATTTTTTTATAATACAAGTATCATGTCGTCGTTTATTGCAGATATCACTCACCATAAAGGGTTCTGACTACAGAATTGAACTGACTGTCAATTAGAAAGTCAGCTATCCACTGTTAACTACATTCTCCCAGAGATCCACTTACAATGAAAAGCCAAAAAACTAAATCTTTGGATATGATGTTGATGGTGTTCCTACTGGTGTTGAATTGGCTTGGCATGATCGATTTTACAACGGCAGCCAGGCTGCTATCAGACATGTAAAAGGAAGTCCTCTCTTTACTGCAGTCCTGTTTCAGAGAACAGTTCCTCTGAGTGAATTAGCCCCTTGTTATAAAGACTCAGTTTGTTCCTCAGTCTCTCCTTGGCTGGGTTTTCCACTGCAGTAGAGTTACCTGAAACAAAAAACAAAGCTACGGATTAGTTTTAATACATACTGTGGGGCAAAAAAGTATTTAGTCAGCCACAAATTGTGCAAGTTCTCCCACTTAAAAAGATGAGAGGCCTGTAATTTTCATCCTAGGTATACTTCAACTATGAGAGACAAAATGAGAAAATAAAACCAGAAAATCACATTGTCTGATTTTTAAAGAATTTATTTGCAAATTATGGTGGAACATAAGTATTTGGTCAATAACAAAAGTTCATCTCAATACTTTGTTATATACCCTTTGTTGGCAATGACAGAGGTCAAACGTTTTCTGTAAGTCTTCACAAGGTTTTCACACACTGTTGCTGGTATTTTGGCCCATTCCTCCATGCAGATCTCCTCTAGAGCAGTGATGTTTTGGGGCTGTCGCTGGGCAACACAGACTTTCAACTCCCTCCAAAGATTTTCTATGGGGTTGAGATCTGGAGACTGGCTAGGCCACTCCAGGACCTTGAAATGCTTCTTACGAAGCCACTCCTTTTTTTTTCTCACAATTGGTGGCTGACTAAAATACTTTTTTGCCCCACTAGAGAGAGAGAGAGAGAGAGAGAGAGAGAGAGCTAGCTTTGTGCCTTGTGCCTTTTCATGTCCCCTTGCATTACAGTTTTATGAGCGGAGACCATGACATATCCGGAAAGGCTTTCCATTTAATGAGAACCTCCTTCCCCCTTCTTACTCCACTCTTCTGACAACCCTCCTTTATCATATGAGATCAGCGTCCGTGCTAATGAGCCTGCTGAAGGTCGTTCACCAACACATGTATCTGCATACACTGAACAACTCTGATGAGGTTATCTGTCTAGGTTTCCTGTTTTGCGGGACAAAGGTTTGATTCGGTAAGTTTACAACAAAAGCAGCATGTTTTCTTTTCTATCTAGTCTTGGATCATAATGTGCAACAAAGATAATAAGAAATTAAATTGATACGGATTGTGGAGATTCAGTCATAAACAGCATTTTGAATATTCCCCACTTTTAGTCAAATCAAATCAAGTTTTATTTATAGAGCACATTTTTAAAACGATTTTTGGTTGAGCCAAAGTGCTGTACATACAATAAAAACACTTTACAACAAATACAACAGCACAAATAAAATTCACACACAGGGAAATGTCAGGAGTCATGCTCCGCTCAGACTAGAAGGCCAGAGAGAAGAAGTGAGTTTTAAGTGTAGATTTAAAAACCCTAGGGTCTGGGCCGAGTGTTGGAGGGGCAGAGTGTTCCAGAGCCTAGGCCCAGCTGCTGCGAATGCTCGGTGCCCTCTGGTTTTGAGCCTGGTCTTGGGCACTATCAGCAGCAGCTGGTCAGCCGACCTTAAAGCTCTGGCTGGGGTGTAGCGATGGAGGAGTTCGGCTATAGACCGGAGCCAGCCCATTTAGTGCTTTAGGGAGTTTACAATCAATTCGGAACCGCAGTGTTAGGCGCTGTTTTTTCAAGCACTTTGGATTAACTGCTCTGTGGTTAAAATGTAAACGTGAAGCAGGATTTATATTTATTTGAGCGTCAACCTTAAAGGTAGGGTAGGTAAGAATGGAGAAACCAGCTCGAGTGCGCTAGAATGTGAAAGTACACAACCAAAAAAAAATCTGACTTCCTTACAGAGCCTCTCCTCCAACACACAAGAACGCGCACATGACCAATGAGGGCACGAGATAAGTTTGTGCACGAGATGGAAGGCTGAATTGGAATTGCCGCGGGCCGAGGCAGATAATTGGTCTAGCTTTTTACAGCGCCACGGTTTCCACAGATGAAATATTTGTATATATTTATTGTCAAAGCCTTTAATTTATTCATTGCTATCGGGATGTTAAGAGCATTCCATGGAATATAACAAAAAGTGTTTCTGAAGTGAATTACCTACCCTACCTTTAACTTACATTCACCTAAATAAAAGTTGACGCCTACCCACCGCCTACATTACCCACAATGCACCCCAACAGTTGACCGTTTTTTTTATCGGAGAGGCGAAGTTCCTCCATTTCCGGTGGACCTCATGGGACCTTGTGCGTTTCTCAATCGCGGGGAAACTGGCTTCCAAGCCAATATTTCAAGGATACTACGTCATCGAGTGCCGCCGAAGGACTGTTCCAATCTCCAGCATACTTGGAATTCCACCGAGGCCGCGTCCTTGGTTTGGGGGTAATTTCGAGGCTCCACATGGGTAGACTTCGGCCGTTTCTCAATCATACTGGCTTGGTAGTCGCATACTTCCAAGTCACTTCCTTCAGAAACGAAGCAAGTATACTTCCAAGCCACGGCTTCGGAAAACGAAGAAGAATGGAACAGGCTAACAAGTGTGCCACTCTCTCTAACGGTTTCAACATAAACTGTACCGAAAATAAATACCTCACGATGTCTATCTAATTATGAACTTGCTTTACTTTCACGGAACACATTTTTGGTGATAACAAATGCAACAAAGTAACATATTTACCAACACATGTTCTACGCCACTACATACTTACATTTAAATGTGTGCTGCGCTGCGTCGGTTCAGCCATTCTCCGCAAGGGTTTTTGAAATTGGTCCGTGCGCAAAGCATTGTGGGGCACAATCGGCGGCACTCGATGACGTAGTATCCTTGAAATATTGGCTTGGAAGCCAGTTTCCTCGCGATTGAGAAACGCCCTTCGCGTCCTTCAAATCCCCACAATTCTTTGCGCACGGACCAATTTCCCCAAATCTGTGGCGGAAAATCTAAGGCGGGGCCTCTCATATGACGCACAACTGCACACTTGCTAGCCTGTTACACTCTTTGTTTTCCGAATACCAGGAAGGATTCTTGCCTAGCTTTAGGGGTTTCACAACTACCAATATTTACTAGTCGACACGTTTTTCAAAATAGTAGTCGACTAGTCGACTAGTCGTTACGTCATAATAAAGACACACAAAGAGAGGTTTACAACTGTATTTTCTATTGGAACTCTGAGACTGCCAAGGCACACNGGTGCGCTGGGCTAATGCTAATGCTAATAATGCTAATGCCAGCAAATACAATGGCGGCTTCACAAAACCTTTCTGAGTTTTACGGGGCGTGGTTTGCAATCCGCCCAGCCAATCAGAAATGGGAACCTTTTTCTCCAATGAAAGTACCTGGTCTCTAGCAGGGACTAAAAAGGGGGTGAAAAGGTTCTCATGAACTAAGTAATAGCTCCGGATTTCTTTGGTGTGAACGCAACATTTCAAGAACTATCGGAACAATACTGGGAAAAGTACTACGGTGTGAAAGCGCCTATAGAGTGGCGAAGTCACGCCCATCTACTTCCGGTCCATGGGACCTTATTTCTGAAAAATTATGAATTGAAGTCAATGAAGAGGGAAAACGTATCTTTCGATCCCGTTTGAATTGTGTCATGAATTACACATATGATGTTTGTCAATCTTAAAAAATAATTTCCATGTAAAAAAAGTCACAGTTTGTTGTAAAACTGTTGAAATATAAGACTATGAAAAATACGCAACTAGAAAGACTACAAATCCCAGAGTCCGTAAGTGATGTCACAATTGTTTACCCTCCACTAAATAAGAGATAGCTAAAATAAAATAACTTTAACAAGATGCCTGTTTGCTTTGTACCAGGTTGTAATCATAGCAGCAATGGGTCTTGCTCGTTCTTTCGCTTCCTGTCTGATGAAAGGACTAGGAGTCGCTGGATCAAGTTAGCTAACTAGCTAGTAGCAAGCACGTTAGTTAGCATTACAGCCTTAGCCTTGTCATTTGTATTAGCCTTAACATTAAGTAACATTAAGTAACCCAAAATGTTAAACAGTAAGAGTAGTAGTCATATTTCGTGAACCCTTTGAAGATTACTGTCACACCGGTGTGATCATTCTATATAATACACCGTTTAGGCCCGGATGCCCCCGGGGGAGACATGCTAACGCTACATTAATATCGGGGAATTTCTGGACGTGTTTCATTGCGGTGATAGTGAGGGTACTCAATCCCTTGTTTGGCAAGACAGTAGTGGTGGCCATCTTGGTGAAGTGTGTTGTTGTGCGAGACCAGAGATGTAGTTCATTGAGTGGTTTCACACAAAAAAAGTCTTTCTTCACATTTTTACAAAATTATCTTTTAAATTGACAAACATCATATGTTTCGTGGGACAATTCAAACGGGATAGAAAGATAACTTTTCTATCGCCATTGACTTCAATACATAATTTTTCCGAAATAATGTCCCATCGAGGTCCACCGGAAAGGGAGGGACTTCGCATCTAGAAAGCTATGCTAACAAGCTAATTGCGCCTTGGAAGAGGAGTGGGGCACAAACTTGTAAACTCGCTGCTTTTTAAACTTTAACTTTGTTAAAACGTGTTATCTTTAAACCCAACTCACGTTACTATGTATCAGATTTGGTTTCCGCGGTTTTACCTGGTCGTAAACAAAAATTGAAGAATATTAATTTTTTTAAAGACAAGTCAAGTAAAGTCTTTAGTAACTCATCTCAAGTAGGCTAGCTAAATCCACTCTGTCCAGATCACAACATGGCATCAAGTCCTCAGGCAGTCAAAGAGTTATATGTCAAATAGTCAAATTTGTGTGAACTGCACATACATTACTTGTCAACATTTCTATACAAACAGTGGCCAGTGATGAATGTGTCACATCAATGCACTTCTTTGGAAGTTTATATGTACTACCAACTATAAACTCACCTCTTTGCACTGGCTTTTAATACTAGTTGAACACAACATTTTGATATTTGTATGTGTTTTTATATGTTTCTAGTTATTGTGCTTTTTATCTTGTTTTTAATTATTGTTTTATTATTTTACTCCTATTGTGTTATTTTATATTTGTTCCCTAGAGCACTTTGGTAAACTGAGGTTGTTTTAAATGTGCTATACAGATTGAGATTGAGATCAACCGCAGAGTTCTTTCATTAAAAAGCTGACATATCTTACTATATATATATATATTTATTATTGTTGTGTTATTTATTACTAGCCTATGTTTCTTGATTTTTGTAATACTTGCTTTTATTTATCTATGTTAATGTTGTTAATTTTGTCTATGTTAACCCCACTGTAGCAAATTCCTTGCATGTGAAAGACAACTTGGCAATACACCTGATTCTGAGAGTGCATAATAGGCCATAACGATGATGAATTATGATTTAAGTCTGACTCAAGATAACATTTTCTCCCCAACATATGTAAACAATGTTTTTATAGTGACTTTCAGGTCAATGCACCGATTTACAACATTACCACCTCCTATAATGTGATATCATGTTTGTTAGTGTTGTCTCAGTGTGTTTGTCTGCAGAGACCCTCAGAGTATGGACCTGTGTGAACTTGGCTTTGAACACTGAGGTTGTAATTTGTGCGTTTTTTTAATTCCAAACAAAATGGTATAATGGCTCACCGTGCAATTAACTAAACCTAAACATCATCTCCATATGAGCAGCAGAGACACCACAGCTATATACCAACAACAATGTTTGAGTCTGTGTGTTGCGTGGAAAGAGGGGGGGATGGAAGTGATCAAACATGAATATAAAAGTAGCTTTACCATAATTTAATAACATTTTATTAGGCTAAGAAATTGGCTTAATGTGATTTTGTTTTGAATAAAAAGTCTTGATACAAGTCTTGATTCATGGTGATCATTTTGTATGAAATATCCTTATTGTTTTACCTGTGTCCTGTGGTCTAATGACCACAACTAATTATTCAATGCACTGCAAGGCCATCTATTATTTTGTTCAAAAAACCTTTATTCTGCTAAGAATACATACAAACATCATCTGATTCCCATTTTAAATTAAGTAAAGTTAAGTACAAGTGTCTTATGTGCAAACACTCAAAATAAGTTATACCTGCACAACTGCAGGACTTTTACCTGGATACCCCTGCTACCAAATCCCATATAATGACTTGTATTTTATACTCTTTTAATACACAGAGCACGTCTCTCACGTGCAATGCCTTTTATTACTCTAATCTGGCATTACATGTTTTTATGTTGGCAAGGGATCCCTCTAAAATGTGCAGGCTTTCTTCCTCCACTCACTGTATTCACTGTATAACCGCTCAGTTGAATCCCTCAAGATACATATTATTCCTGTTATCGCGAATACACGATGCTTCAGGCGTTAAAGGTTTCATTTTCTTTATGAACCGCCTTCCTCTTCTCTCACTCTGTCCTCCATCAGCACCGTCTCTGATGCTGCAAGGCGTGCCATGTGATACTGAGGGGAGGTGCGGGCGTCCTGACAGAGTTAGCTGGTCCTCATACTTCACATCACTCCAGATCAAGGCAACCCCGGGGCGGAGCAGCACTGTATAGCTCGTCATTTGGACGCTTTGGATACTTGCTGCTTGCTGTAACACAGTCGTGCCATCTTTGAGGGCTGCTGTTAGTTTTTTAGAGACCTAAGTTCACCTTATTGTGATTGTGCGCCATGGGAGCAGAGAGCTCAGTGCCGCGGGACGGGAAGAGCCAGGAAGATGCCCCAGCTTCAGCCTCAGCCTCCGGCGGGGATCTCACTGCGGAGGGGTCTGTGCTCCAGGAAAGGAGCAGCGTCACCGACAGCAAGGTAGAGCGCAAACTAAGGCTTTTATTTGTATTTTCTAATCTTATCCCTGTGAGTGTTTCCTAAACCTTCGTGCAAAGTGTTCAAACCAGCATCTAAAGGGCATATAAGTAAATTACCTGGCGTTTATTCTGTTTCCTGGTATCTGTTGTAAGTTATTTTTTTATAGTTTACGTCTTTGTTTGCAAACATACCTGTCTTCACCGCCCCTCCCCCCCTTCCCCCTGCGCATCAGTAACGTGCTGCAGCCTCCATGTGCGCCTGACGCGGTTTTTTTTTGTGCTGAGTAATGGGTCGTGTTGTCTGCAGTCCCGCAGTAATAAAACTAAACCAGCTCAGCCCGGTGCAGAAATGCCACCTGGGCTCAGTCTGAGTCATGAACAGTCTTGTATTTCATTTTTTTTTATAGTTTTGGAGCTTTTGGGCCAAGCACATGAGCAGTGAAGCTGTATTTAGTTAGACGGCAGCACATTGACAATAACAAGTGTTCATGTGACTGCATTTATTTTTATCATGCATTATAGTTTATGTTTTGGTTGATCAAAGAATAATGGTTTAACAATATTTTCCCCACTAAATGAAAAGCATATATTTTTAAAATATTTTATATATAGACATATTTTCCTTTTCAAATAAATCTTAAGAGGATTGTTGACATTTGCATATATTTGAAGTATAAAACAAGGTAGAAATGTTAACGATGTTTTGAAGGATTAAAAAAGAAGAAAATTGTTAAACTCTGGGCAGAAAAAAAATGGTTACATTCGGCTTAAGTTGAAGAGTCATGAAAATTGCAAAAAACATATTGAAATCATTAACAAAAAATGAAAGTAACGTGTGCAAATAAACAACAATTTTATACCCTGTGTGATATCAAGTTGATATTATAAAAGTCCCATAATTATGAATAATTTAAAACCTCATTGCATCACAATAACCACCTACTTCCTCTCTAACACTTCCATCTATAATAGTACATTTTTACTAAGTCCCACCCTCTGCTACCAGTCGGTAGTCCCAACCTCATTTATTTACATAAAATCAATTAAAGTTGAGCATTTTGACCTCATACCACCAGAGTTTGACAAACAATGAATGAATAATAGGTTAAAATAGGCACATTTCCAGCCTATATGTGTGATCTGACACCATAAACAGCTGTCAACCAGTCCCAGTAGCAGCACAGGACCCTGAGATTATAAAGAATACCAGATTATAAACTTCTTTAATGCTTATTTGGAATGATGCAACAACTAAAATCATACTTGTAAGAGTACATTTGCTTTTTCGTTTCCTGTGCTCTGCACCATGTTGTGGTGCAGCTGCCTTCATCTGAGCACCTTGCCGACTGCACTGTTACCTTGGTGCACATTTGCTCAGCGTTGTGTGAATGAATGTTTGGAAAGAGCATACTAATGACTATGCATGTCTTGCCACCTGCTCTGTTCACGCCTCATATAAGTTATTGGCTTTATTGACTTTTTTTGTGGGCCATAGGTCACCAGGTCAGATTTGGTGGCTCATCTCTGATCTTAAAGGTCAGCAGAAAGGTCGAATGACACTGAGGGAGACAGAAAGTGAGACAGAAAGCCCAGAGGGTTTTAACATTCGGTCAAGAGTTGAATCAAAGCTACATCTGTTCACCATTTTTCTTTCTTAAAGATGTGATTTTGCTTGTGTTTTTATATGCTGGCATGAATTGACTCCACTGTGTGTATGTTTTGTTAAGCTTTGAGCTGTTATCGCAGGTATAATCGCAGAGGCAGTGTTTGCTCTCATATTTGACCACTGGCGCTGGAATGTGTGATATTAAATGTTTTAATCTGCGAGTTCGTGCTTTGACATTTCAGCTGAAATGGATACATACAGTTAGTGTGCTTAGACCTACGTTTCTGCCACTGAAACTGTGTCTCTCCAGGTAGCATGTAGCTGTTAATGATTGTGAGGTTGTTAAACAATGACTGTGCTGTCCTCGGCTGATCCCGGCTTAAATAACAGCCACTGTCATATTTTATTGTTGCGCATACTGGAATTTCCTTTTTTTAATTAAAGCAATAAAAAATGGTTGTTGACGCAAAGGCTCGGGGATTTCTCGGGTACATTTCATTCATTTGCTTAATTTGTACGATAAATACGCCAGTTCTCCAAACCAGTAAACAAAATGATTGCACGTCCATGCAGAGACCATCTACTCCTTCATAATTAAACTCACCAGAGATTAAACCATTGGCTCTCAACCTGTTTGGCTTGTGACCCTTTTAATAAATAATTAATCATCTTATATTTACTTATGCAATAGCAAATCACTCGTAGGGGGTATTTTCTGCAGATAGAGTACTGAGAAAGAGAAGGGGGACAGACAAATGCAGATTAAACTGTGCCATGTTCTCTCTGTAAATGATACACTTATATTTAAGATAAAAACAGATTTTGCGATCATTGTCGCATTAAAAGGTAAATGTAGACATTGATGTCATGTGACAAATGGTTTATAAATTATAGATGGTGTGTTTTATGGAAGGGGGGTGGGGTGTCTGGTGACAGTGTGTGCTGTGTTGAAGCAGATGGACACTTCGTGCTTGATAAATATTCCCCTCACTCCTCAGAGGAATTTAGCAGTGTCTCCGTCTCTCTTGACCACTGACCTGCTTCCTCATACCTTTCTTTCTCCGTCAACCTCACAAGTGTTATCACAATAATCACATTAAGATCATACTACAGTTTGGTCTATTCAGGTTGTTATGTTGTGACCTTGTCCCACAAAACATTGTTATATTGCTAAAAAATATTTTAGGTCATCTAAATATTGGACAAATGTTGCTTTCATACCCAAAATATTGCCTTTTCCCACGACCTCTATAGCTATAATGTCCTGCATGACTAAATACATCATGATATGATTATGCCAATTTGGCCTTAATCAGCTTTTGTTATTAGGTTTAGATTTCTGAATGAGTTTCAATAATATGAGTTTTATTAGTTTGTATGTAAACAGATTTCACGGTTTTCTCTACATTTAAAGAAGATTTTGTTGCATGCATTTTAGTTGTCCTCTCCAAAGATTTATGTTCAATTAAAAACGTGATTTCCCATCCACAGCACCCTAAACACCTTAAGACAAAACTGGCTTACGAATTTTATTTGGGACCATTATTATTACCTGCAACTGGACACTGTTATGAAACTACGGTAGGTTTCAAGTTTCAAGGCATTTATCGTCATGTGTGCATAGCTACAGTGTTGTTATGACAATGGACATCTTAGGTGTCCACAGGTTCCTCCAACAGTGCAACACAATAAAACCAATAAAATAGTACAAGTAAATAGAATATAATAGAAACAGAATATGATAGAAACTGTGCAGAATAGTAGGGATCATTGTTTTCCATTACCTCCACAAATCAACAAACACACAGCTCAAATATCCACCTGAACATGAGACATGCATCACATGACTCCAATGATCCCACAGCATGTTATGTAATGTCATGTGTGCTGATTAAGGCTGGTGCGTTCCTGGATAATGAGCCGCAGCTGATCAGATGCTGCTGTGGCTTTGATTATCTTGTCAAGCAGAGAGAGAGAGAGAGAGAGACAGAGAGAGACAGAGAGAGACAGAGAGAGAGAGAGAGAGAGAGAGAGAGAGAGAGAGAGAGAGAGAGAGAGAGAGAGAGAGAGAGAGAGAGAGAGAGAGAGAGAGAGAGAGAGAGAGAGAGAGAGAGAGAGAGACGGGAGGGGTCAAACAGAGAATCCATTGAGGATGGCCCGGGACGGGGACAAGCTGGGGGCCCCTGTGTGCAAGAGGAAGGAACCAACAGGGGAGCAGGGGGGAGGGAAGCGTTTTGGGTGGGCAGGGGAAGAGGTGTAGAGCCCAGAGAGAGGGAAAAAAGAATGAGTGAGAGAGGAACCTGCCAGAGTGACATGAAGAGATGAATCAGCCGATTGTTCCCCCAGTCCTCCCTCCTGCCTGATTTTAAAAGGACCCTGATGACAGAAGTTGGGTTGAAAATGGGCCCAGGTACAAAAAAAAGCATCAGGATAGGCAGTAGTGTTTTTGAATGTGTGTGTTAAAGGTGGAGGTATGGGAACTCCTCTTACCAAAATGTAAACAAAAGAAAATCCAAACTCTGCTCAACTCCGCTGGGTTTTGTAAATCTTAAAGTTTGTTTATTGTGGAGTTGTTATAAGGGAAAGAGAAAATGATGGGACAAAATATCCGCATAGAAGCATTTTTTATCATCAAATCTTTGCTTATTGTGGAAAATAAAAGCTAAGTCTATAATAAACTATTATAGACATCGGATAATGAACTTCCCATGATGATGATTTTTTTCTGCGAAATCAAATCAAATTTCTTGTCCTTTTGAAGAGTAACAGAAAATCGTTTTTTGTTGTGAATTAATCCCTCTAATGCTGCTTCCTATCTCTTATCTCTCAAATTCACTGCCAGTAGAAAACAGACGCGGGGTTGAGGATGTGAAAAAAAGGAAATCCTTTGTTCCTCTCGCCTCTTTGCCCCTACAAATTAGACTTCACTCCAATACTTGGATCTAATAATGAGTTCACATGGCAATATCAAATCCCCAAATGGCAACAACATCAAAATGTTACATAATCTTAGGGGATTTTTGTTTGTTGTGTTTACTGTGTCTGTGAGCGGTTCCCAGATAATTCTTTCTGCTGTTACCCATTATTTTTCGAAACTGCAGGTTTTTTTTTCATTCATCTCACAAATAATAAAAACAAGAAGACTGACCACACTAAAAACCATGACGTTTAATATATTTACTACACATACATGTTGCTGTTTTGCTTTGAAACCTGGTTGTTGTTGTTGTTGTTGTTGTTGTTGGTTTTGTTGTTGTCAGTTTGTACAACCGCATCAGAGAATGCTGTCCAAATCTAATTATTTTCCACTTTGATGTCTCAAAAGTCCCAAAAATGTTATTTTAACCCATGACTCCACATGACATCCATTTTGTAGGTATGCAGTCAGACCATAA